ATTTCATACTACCCCTCTACTTGCCATAGCAACCCAGCTACACTGCCCTTCTGGGACCTGCCTTATTGCCCTTCACCCCAGTGCCTTTGCATATACTTCTCTCTCTGCTGGAGTATTCTTTTCATGCATAGTTAATCATGTTCAGTCCTTCTGAATAGAATTTGAGCACTACTTTCTTGGAGAATATTCTCCTGACCAGTTTCCTCGGTAAATCATTCTTGTGGGGCAGTGTGGCTTTCTTTCTGAGCACCTCATTCAGTTTGATGTTATGCCCTCACTGATGTGAAAATGCCCACTGGACTGTCAGCTCCATGAGGGCAGAGACCACTTGAGTTTTACTCACTGCTACCACCGTATAGAAGATCTTGGATGCAAGGATGGTGTCAGGCAGAGCCCTTTCCTAGGTGAAAATGTAAAAGTAAGAGTAGGATTATAGTTTTACTTTATTTGTTGTTAAAGGAAAGAAAACACTTAGAAAAAAATTTAAAAACCATTCTCAAATTATTTGGTCGTGGAGTAATATGAAGACCTTTCCCACTGGATGGGGAAGTTGGATTGAAATAGAAGACAAATAGCTTTGGCTTTGCCACATGTAGTTCAAGTTGGGGCTAAGAGGTAGAATTTCAGGTTAGGAGACATAAGTACAGAGAAGTGCCCTGTAGTTTTGGCACTCCAAGACATTGCTCTTTTCTCTGGCAAATTGAATTTCTGCAGCCTGGGGAAAGCAAGACGCACACTGAAGGGAGTTTAATATGCATGATCATTTCCTAGAGCTTAGAGAATAAGAGGAGAAAGGTGGGGCAACAGAAATAAAGTTAAGAAATAAACAAAGGGTACATTTATATGACTGAATATATATATTTTTTTTAAAAAAACCTGGAAAGCCACATGAGCTCCTCAAGATGTTTGTGTAATTGAATATAATTTATCTGGGATTGAAAGGAATAATAATCAAAACATTTTTCACTTAAGTGTGTCTGGAGGCATATGAAATGAGACTCTTGATGGTGGCCTCTGTTTGAGTGCGTCCTCAGTGCTTTGTCCTCAGGCTGCAGACTGGAAATGTGTTTTAGAGAGTAGGCATGGAGCACAAAATATTAAATGAACTTTACCGTATTCAGAATGCCCAACAGGGTAACATCCTCCTTGTTTGGCAGGGAAAGGACTCAACATTTGGAAACTCAGCAGTGCATTAAGTATTTTAATAATCATTGTTGACACACAAAGCATATGGCCTTTCAGAACTCACTGGGTCAAGTGTTGAAGTCTTCTAGGTTTCTAAAATTACTTTACAAAATTTAAACAAAATTAGGGCACATTTCAAAGCATATTAATTCATGAGCTTTGTGTTATAAGCAGCTAAAGTTTTCTCTTAGGATAAAGGAATGTCTGTGTAAAGGAAGAAACAAAATCCACAGCCTCACAGAAAATTAATTTGCATTTCATTAGGAAATGTAGAACTTCTCCATTAGCAGGCCAGTCTCGTGGATACCTTATATTTACTGTTTACTCCTATGCATGCTTTAAGACCCACCTCCGATATCCACCCCCATCTCAGAAGCCTTTATTGTCTGCCTGCTTATCATTTATATCAGTTATCTGTGGCCACGATAATACTGTGAAATAAGCAACTCTAACATTCAGTGTCTTAAGACAATAAGCTTTTCTTACTGTTCACAAATCTGTGGGTTAGGGCAGTTCTGGTCTTTGGTAGGCTCACTCATGAGTCTGTGGTTAGCTGTGGGGTAGGAAGGGCTTCTGCTGATCATGGCTGACCTCTCTCTCCTGTCTGCAGGTCAGCTGGCCAAAGGCTGATCTGCTGGGACAACTGGGCTGTTCTCCTTGTGTCTCCTGCATGCACAAGGCTCTCACACCCCTCCAGCTGGCTGGCCCAGGCCTGGTCTCAGGTTGGCCTGGATATCTTCTCAAGGCCATCTCAGAGAAGCAAAAAGCTGGAAACACCTAGCACTTTTTTTCCAGGCTTCCAGTTTCATCACATTTGTTAACATCTCACTGGGCAAAACAAGTCACATGCCAAGCCCCGAGCCAGTGGGAGCGGCCCACAGATTTGTTAAAGGGCAAAGGATGGGGGTACCGAGAGACCAGTATTTGAGGCTTCTTTTTTTATTTTTCTTTTTTTAGGCTTTATTTATTTTGAGAGAGAGAGGCAGGAAGGGGCAGAGAGAGAGGGAGATAGAATCTCAAGCAGACCCCGTACTGTCAGTACAGAGTCGGATGTGGGGCTCAAAAAAACTCACGAGATTATAACCAGAGCTGAAACCAAGAATTGAACACTTAACTGACTGAGCCACCAAGGCACTCCCAGTATTTGGGGCTTATTGATAACAACCTACTCTCCTGCTCCACACTACCCCCAGCATTAATCATTCCCTTATCTGTACTGCCTCTATTCTTTACTCTTCTACTGTTGTACTTTACCCATTGTATTATAATTGCTAATTTGTCTTCTCTAAAACTACTAGAGGGTCCTTGCCTATGTGCATTTATTGACCCATTGCCATTCTCTAAAACTACTGGAGAGTCCTTATGCCTATGTGCCTTTATTGACCCATTGCCATGAATCTTACTCCTTTACAGATACCCCAGTGCTTAGCACTGGTCCTAACATAATGGGTACTCACCAAATACGTGTTGAATGAATGCAGATGTGAAAGCTCATACCCATATTAATCTCCTTCCTCTTCAGAAGAAAAGAGTAGAGACAGATGCCTTCCAGGATTCCAGTTGAGGAGGTCTTCCTGGCCAGAGCAACTGGTGAAGTCGTGGAGGGCTTGCAGTGAGGATGCCAACTACTGTGAAACATCTTTCTCTTCACACTCCTGTATCTTCCCTCTAGGGCTTGGGTTTTCCTGTTGCTGTCTCCTTATTCCTCTCAAAGGAAGGCAGGAAATCATTACTTTTAACTAATTCTAAATTTGTTTTATAGTGCGTGCTCCCAAGTATCTCCACTCTACAGTGGGAAATGATGGAGCTCCAGGATTTATTTAAGCTCATGGCGTGGTCAGTTTGAGAGGAGCTAACTGGCTTCTTCTGTTCTCTGGTTTTCCCAGCCCTATAGACCAAAAATACAGAGGCATTCTTAGGAAAAGTTTTATACAGCTCTAGAACAGAAGACCCTATTCACACAGGGTATTAATTTTGTCAACATGGTGTTAAATGTATTGTCTCATTGTTTTCCAGTTCCATATAATCTACAGGAAAAACTAGAGTTTCTGGGTAGAGTCAAAATTTGAGCTTCTTGATTTTCCAGTGATTAGTGTATGGTGCTTGAGAGGCAGAATAGCATGGCTTTGGAGTCAGGCAGGCTAATCTAGAATGGCAGCCTTGCTCATTAGTTACTTCCCCAGATGAATCCTCTCAACCTTAGGAGTCAACAAAGGCTAAGCAAGAAAAGCTGGCATGTGGTGAGTGAATTGTATTAATTGTTCAGTTGTATTAAATGTGAATTGTAGCTATTGTTAAATTGCTTCAATGGTTAAATTGTTACAAATGGTAGCAATTGTATTGATTGTTGGTATTATTATATAATGCCGTATAATCTTATAAGCTGTGATTATAAGTAGTATTATCAGTGGTAAAAATGTTTTATTTCAAATAATCTTCATGGTTATTTTTATTAAAAAATGAAATCATTTCTAAAATAACAACCTTAAAGGTTATACTTTAAAATGATACTTGAATAGCCTGGGAAATTTCTTCATTCACTGAATATGTATTCAGTACCTGCTTTGGGCAAGGTCACCAGGTCCCAATCATGTAATGGTGATCAAGGCACACATCTTCCTTGCCTGCTGGTATCCTGTGATGGAAGCACTATCACTAATGAGTCAGCATTACTCCCAGATTGCAGTTACCTGTCCTGTATCTACAACTGCATGAATTATCTGAGATAAAGTGATATTTGGCAAGCTTTTCCCGGTTAAAATATAATGTGGTGATGCTTCAGAATGAAGGAAGGAGAAATTTTGACCTCACCATGTTTTAAGTAGCTATATTATTTTTAAAACCTTCAAGGGGCGCCTGGGTGCCTCAGTCACTTAAGCGTCCGACTTTGGTTCAGGGCCTGATCTCACGGTTCTTGGGTTTGAGCCCCATATTGGCCTCTCTGCTGACAGCTAACTCAGAGCCTGGAGCCTGTTTCAGATTCTGTGTCTCCCTCTTTCTCTGACCCTCTCCTGCTCATGCTCTCTCTCTCTCACTCTCTCTCAGAAATAAATAAATAAAACATAAAATAAATAAATAAAACCTTCTATTTTATTATCAAATAATGTGTAGAATAAACATTTCTAAATCTTTTCCTGACCTCATTCCCATTTTGAAATACTATATGGATCAGGGACAGAGGGAGAATTGCTTATATACAGAATCAGCAAGAAAAAGTTGGAAGTTTATCAGTTTTTTAGATTATGTCACAATCCCCTTATACAGTACCCTAGGTTGGATCTTGGAACAGAAAAAAAAGGGCACTGATGGAAAAGCTGGTTAGATCTGAATAATGTCCATTGTTTAGCTAATAGGACTGTGTCTGTGTTGTTTTCTTGTTTTTAACAAATGTACTGTGTTATGTAAGATGTTAACATTAGGGAAGGTGAGTGAAGAGTATATGGGGAAGTGAGCTTCAAAGACCTTTAGGAAAACAGTAACATGGCAAAGGTTATCCTCTTACCCCACTGCATGTTTCCGGACATCTCCCCACCACAGTCACTTTGTAAATGCTTTGAGAGGAGAGGAGTTTACATTTTGACTGAGAAATACATAATTAGGATAGTAAAACTGCTGTAAAATCATCACATGCAGTGGTGTTGTTGAGGTCCTTTGGAGGTAAAGAATGGATGTTGTAGGATCTTCTTGCCTGCCTGGAACTTTCAAAGGTGTTTTCTTATATGAAAGAGATAAGCCCACTCTTGGTCTTTCCTCACTGGCAAATTTTAACTACTTAAGAGTCTGAGTGGTTCAAAGGTTCCCTTTTACTTTCATAGGTACAAACACAAGTACGCCTTGCCAAAAAAAGCTTTGACAAATTGAAGATGGATGTGTGTCAAAAAGTGGATCTCCTTGGAGCAAGCAGATGCAATCTGTTGTCTCATATGCTAGCAACATACCAGGTAATGAAGTGATGTTGGTTACAATGAAACAAGAATGTTATGAGGCTTAGGGGACAGAAAAATGGTGTCTGACCCAAAAGTATGGTTTGGGCAGTATGAAGCTCTGAATGTCTTGCTCATAATTTACTTTCCACACCTGTCCCTTCTAGTGGACTGCAGTTTAATCATACTGAATGTTAGCTATTTCCTGTGCATACACCATGATTTCCTACTTCCTTTCATTTACATAGGTGGTTCCTTCTGCCTGAGTCCCTTTCCCCCCATTTCTACCTTTCCATATTCCACTCTGTTTAATGTGCTAGTAGCATCCCTCAGAAAGCCTCCTCTGATTTCACTCCGTCTTGTTGCCTAGACTTCTGGCACAGTAACTTACTCATTAGCTTGTCATAATTTAATGGACTCATTTTTGTCTCCTCCTGTCTTCTGAGTTCCTTCATCATAGTAATGGTATCACACCAACTGAGTGTGGGAGGCCAAATTCTGGGCCCTCCAGAAATTAATAAGACCAAAGTTCCTGTCCTCAAGGAACTTAAAGTTTCAGAAGGAAGTCAGAGATAGTTTGTACACTGTGACAATATTTTTTTGTATTTTAAGGGGAAAACAGGATGTGCTAAGTGAAATAAGTTCAACAAAATCCAGTGAGGATTTGAAGAGGGACAAACTGAATCAGTAGAAGGATCACAGACGTATATTGTTAATGATTAGCCCTGGGTTTTGGAGGATGGATCACATGGGACAAGAACAGAGAATAGAGAGGAAAATGTCCCAAATAGTGGAGCACCATTAGCCATGGCAGGCAGTGTTTGAGGGGTACTGGGAAGCATTTAGTTTGGCTGAAATACAAGGTATAAAGAGGAGTGTAATGGAAACAAGGCTGCAGACATGAGTTGGAATCATATTTTGGGGGATCTTGAAAGCCAGAGATGGGCACACTTCTCCGGGGCCTGTGGCTAAAACTGGGAATTCGAAACATTAATAGCTGTACTGTCTTTCCTTACAGACAACTCTCCTTCATTTTTGGGAGAAAACTTCTCACACTATGGCAGCCATCCACGAGAGCTTCAAAGGTTACCAACCATATGAATTCACTACGTTGAAGGTATGAAAGCTAAGAGAGGCCATTAGAAAAACCTAGCAAAAGTAATGTTACATCACAGACAGTGTCTGTCCTTTGGCAGCAATCATCATTATTCCAACAGACTCCTAATGTCCAAGAGAGAACTATGCCCCCTAGTATAGTCTTTGACTGCATCAGTATTCAATACAACAGTAAGTCACAACAGTACAAAAACACAGCTTGAACCTTGGGGTACATGTTACTCAGAGATGAATTGTGGGGACTGCTTTAAATGACTTGTTTGATGTTGTTAAAGAAGAGATTGTACAAGTCGAGTATACTCCATTACTTTTTAATTATTAAATTCAAATATGTTCCCTTGCAAAGGGATTTTTCTTTCCTCTCTTACTTCTGACAAATGTCATTTTATTCTGTGAGTACCATTCAATACAAAATTATATTTTCCCATAAGACTACAGGAATATTTTCCATTCAAAAAAGCAGCATTAAACTCGGTGATTTCTGAATGCAAAAGGGATATATGCAAAATGTCTGATTCTAAGTATTGCAGCTGAGCGTGGGATCTTTTTGGTTGCTCAGGTAGAACACATGTCAAGAAGGAAGTGATTTGGGTTCTAAAAGGATTCTGAGAAGGAGAGAGCACCAGAGGTTTTGTCACCAGGTCATACCTTTGAAAGGAAAAGAGCAGGAAAGAACTAGTTAAAGCTCATCTTGAAATTACCTTCTTTTTAATTTTTTAGGCAATTTGTAAATGGCTTATCATCTTGCTTAAGAAAACATTAACAAGTTTTTTTTTTAATTTTTGCTTTAAAACACCTTTGATTCTGAAATGTTTATAATGTTACTGCATCTGCAAAAGTACTAAGACAGAGACCTTTGAGACCCTGGCCCTTTAAATGAATGTCTCAAGAGGATCCCAAGACAGTCCACTCACCTTGGGATGCACCTGGCCTGACTCCAGACAGGACACCTGGCCAGTGAAGTTTCTTCACAGTACTCCTGTCAGCTGGTCCTGTGTTCATTTATTGGTACTTGCTGACATGCTGCGTGGTAGCCAGATTCAGAATGTGCCCCGTTTTTTTACTCTGTCAGCTGAGCTGTAAGCACTTGAGGGGAGGGACATTTTATTCCTCTCATACCCTCCTTTGTCCAGCTAAATGTTCTGCATCCAACGAATCCAAAGCCTTTCTTAGCACCTTGGTGATGTTACCATTACTGGATGTTACCATTGCTGCATTCCTTCCCCATCATTTACTACCACTTTATGCACCTTAGAGAGCAACTATCCCAACCAAGCCAGATCTATTGAAATTATTACCACTCATTGTCTTCCCATTTCTTAGAGAGGCCTGAACAGAATCCTAGAGCTTCTTCTTTAATAAGGCAGAGACTTTTAGGTTTAGGGTATGTATGTGCATCAGATTTTATTTTATAATAAGTTTGTCTTTTATAAGACAATTGTACATAAATCACCTAGGTGGAAGATGGAATGATGCCTACCCCAAATACAATTTAAAAGAAGTTCAGATTTGAGTTAATTGCATATAAAGTACAATATGAAACTGATGTCACAAACATGGAGGATTCCTTTCTGGCCTCCTGTGCTGAGGAAAATATGGCTCTTTAATTGTTGCCATGATATTTATCCTGCAGAGAGGATCAAGCTGATGATGTTAGAGGATTTCTGGGCAGAGAATTTATTGGAAATTTGATGGCAATGGTTCAGGACATAATTACAAATATTTTGAACACATGACTATCCATTGCCTTTTACATCCCCAGAGTCATCCTTAAATTATGGTTTAGTAACAGTTTATGGTTTAATTATAATATAAAATCAGTAGAAATAATGTATTTGTTAAGGTATAATATAATTATAGTAATATTAAGAATGTTAAGTGTCCAGCAATCAACCAAATAAACTAGGCTGTTATTACTTTTAGAATGCTATTCATCTAGGCTTTTCAATGATGTTATATTAGAACCCCAAGCTGGTCACTAATTGTTTTCTTTATATGGACTCACACCTGTATAATAGAATCCTGTTATCACAAAGCTCATTATAGCATATATGGAGGCATGTTAACTATTTTATTGTATGTCACAAAACATGAAAATGGAAACCACTAATAGTTTATGTATTACCATCAAGCATGAAGATATTACCTGACTTACCACCCTCTTGCACTAATATATATTTTTAAAAACATGCCTTGTATTTAAAAGATTTGGGGGACAACTAGGTGGTTCAGTTGGTTGAGCATCTCACTCTTGATTTAAGCTCAGGTCATGATCCCAGGGTTATGGGATTGAGCTTAGCACTCAGTGTGGAGCCTGCTTAGAATTCTCTCTCTCTTTTCCCCTCTGCCCCCTCCCCTGCTTGTACTCGCTCTCTCCCTCTCCCTCTCTCTCAAATAAAAATTAGTTTCTTTGTCTCTCTCCCTCTCTCTCTGCCCCTCCCATTCCTGCTGTCTCTGTGTGTGTCTTTCTCTCAAAAGAAATAAATAAAAATTATAAAAAGTTATTAAAAAGGGTGGGCACCTGGTGGCTCAGTTGGTTAAGCATCTGACTCTCAATTTTGGTTCAGGTCATGATCTCATGGTTCCTGCCTTCAAGCCCTGTGTCAGACTCTGCCAGTGCAGAGCCTGCTTGGGATTCTCTCTCTCTGCCCCTCCCCTGTTCATCGTGCACTCTATTTTTCTCTCAAAGTAAACATTAAAAAATAATAAAAATAAATAATTGAATAAGTAAAAGATTTTGATTTCATCAAGTCATTTTCAATGCACTATATATTGATAATGGATTATTTTGGAATTTAAATAAATATTTTCACACTTTATTTGTTCTCTGGATTTATCTCAGCAAATAGCCCCTGAAATGCCTTTTGGGACTCTGGCTGGAAGGAAAACATTGTCTTTAGAGAGGTTTGCCAAGCTCTGTTAATGAAAAGCAACCCATTTGCTTTCTTTGCTGCAGGGTGTATTCTGAGTGTTGGTAATTGTGCCACTGCAGCTGTATTTCCTGACTGTTAGTTTTATGCTTGATGAAGGATGATAATTAATGTGTTAAACACCCAATGCATCCTGTTTGGAGGGAAGAGTCTTTTGCTGCAGTATTACAGCGCTATAACTCATGCACCAGAAGTTTGTTTCTAATGAACCTTCCTCTAGAAAATATGTATAATTCTTTCCCAGTATAATTTTATTGTAAAAATGAATTGAGCCTCCACCTCTTACAAAATATCCAAGTGACTATTTTGACATTTTGTGAATATTTTGTGGTAATGTTTTATATGTCAACTGTTGCTTTTTTACTCAGGCCTGATAGGGTTCTATTGATTCTACTTTTATTGGATATAGTCCAATAGTCCTTATATATCCAATAAGGATATAGTCCTCCATCATTAATTTTATGATTAATAGATTTTTGTAGCATTTTAACTTTATGGAGAATTTAGCATTGAAATTTAATATTACCAAGAATTTTTTATGTTACAAAATTTTTTCATCTAATTGCAACAAGGCTCAAATTTAAAGGGGGTGAAAACATCTTTTAAGTGGCTTACAATAAAAGAAGCAAAGCTCTAATCTCATATTTTCAAACAGTAAATATTGTTTCATTAAAATGCTGATAAAGATAGGTACTTTGCATGGGTTATTAATATGTTAATTTATTTTTAGAGAGAGAAAGTGCATGTGTTGGGGAGGGGCAGAGGGAGAAAGAATCTCAAGCAGGCTCCATACACAGCTCTGAGCCTGAAGTGGGGCTGTATCTCAGGAACCAAGAGATCATGACCTGAGTCAAAATCAAGAGTCCAAAGCTTAACCGACTGAGCCACCTAGGCGCCCCTGATATGTTAAATTTATACTGATTCCAAATCATCTGAGAATGTCTTTCACATGGTAGAAATTATCAAGTCATGGAGATAGGATGGAATATTTCTAGCCATATCTCTAAAGCACTGTCACTTTTTCAGAGGAAGTAATTTAGACTCTGAGTTTAAAGCATTTTTTTTAAAGGTAAATGAAATGATGTCTATCAGAAAACAGTGCTCAGTCTTAAATTACCACCCCTCGGAAAATGGTAATGTTTACTTTATCCTTCCAGGACGTCGTTTACTTACACATCACCGCACAGATCCAAAACAGTCTTCAGAGAAAGCAAAACAAAAGCAAAAAACAAAACAAACCTTCAGGAGTCATGTGACTTTTTCCTAGCAAATCTAAAACTCAGTGGTCTCTTCCTCCCAAGCTATCATGTGAGTTGAGTCAGATGTCTTTACAGAGAAGTGGGCACTGGAGACCCTTTGGAGAAATAGACACACCATTAGGAGCTAGTTGAGGGGAAGGCATGTCCTTCTGCATTTATATTTTAAAAGAGATCAGAGTGACTATATTTAAGGAAAATGGTCAGTAGTAAAACATATTCCTATCATGTTCCCCATTCTAGTGCTGTTGGCAGGAAAGCCAGATTTTTTTTTTTTTTTTTTTTTACTCTGGATACATGATAAAGTATGTAAGATCACGGGCTCTGTGCCACCCAGACCTGGCTTTAACTTGAGCTCTGTCACTTTCCAGCTGTTTTGTGGTGCTGGTGGCAGTGAGGTTGGCAGCCATAGTGGTGGCACCAGGAGTCCCGTGGTGGGGGTAATGGGGATGGATTTATCAAGAATTCTCTCATGGATCCAGAAGACAGCCATTGGCAGTATCAGTACACAGGGGTCTATCGAGCTCGCCAAGTTCTGTAGCCTAGCTTAAGTTCTTTTCATACTGTTTTCACCCTAGATGATTAGTTTTGTAGTGAGTTGTGAAGGCGAGGTTGTGAATGGTGGTGGGATAGGTCCCTCAGACCTCACCCAGGAGAACCCCTCCCTCCCTGACTCACACAGATGCTCTGGCAGTTATATTCCCAAACCTGTGCTTCAGGCCTGCAGGCCCTTGTCTGGGCTTACATAACTCCCGCAGGGATACAAGAGGGCAGGGCAGGCCTACATGCAAGGAAGGCAGGGAGGCTTCCCACCC